CCCCAACCCTCCTCCTTTCTCATCCTGGACTTGGGACCAGGCAAAGGCGGAGGTTGGCATGTTTGGTGCGACGGGGATTCGAACCCGCGACCCTCAGATTACGAGTCGAGCACCCTAACCGCCTGGCTATGCCGGGCCTAGACATTGGTATTAGGTCTATTATAATTTTTAACACTACATTCTTTATCTAGTCCCTTAGGGATTTTCAAGAATTAGAAGAGTGTATAAAAGATATAAATCTGTGTATGTGTATAAAAAAAAAAAAGTAACATTTTTGAAAACTTAAAAAACTGCATCCAAATAATTTGATTCAGTATAATTTTCCTGAAAGGGGGCCATAATCTTTGAAACTAGCTCCTAAATATCTATATACGTTGGTTCTTCACGTGATCACTTGTTTTAACCACTCACACCACAAAGGGGGCCATAATCTTTGAAACTAGCTCCTAAATATCTATATACGTTGGTTCTTCACGTGATCATTTGTTTTAACCACTCACACCACTATACACTAGTGTGTTATCTGTCAGTCAATCAGTTAGACACTGAAATGACCTCACATAAGAGACGTTTAAAGTTGCAATTCGTACTGTCACGACATCAGTAAAAAGTGCACGTGCCATGAATCATGAGAAGAATTATGCACTCTGTAAGTTATAACACAGCATGACATGTAAACTTCAAAAGCAAGAAATAAAAATATTTGTTAGTCTTAATTGTGGTTTTACTTACTCTTGAAATGTAACAATTTTGTGGACCCGAGCAGACAAGCGTCTAGTATAGATATAGAAATTAAGATATCTCCTAATAAAATATTTTCAAACATAAATGTATCCCAAAATATTTTATAGATTCTAGGCAGGTGTATTAATGAGGTTAGTTTTTACTTGCATTACAATTCTAATAGAACTCCATGCAGTGAAGTTCTGAAAAGTAACTTGTTCTTATCTCTCGGCATCTCTTTTAAATTAACATAAATTATGCAAAAGGCTGTAAAATAGATCAGCAGCTGTTTGGAACAACTACAAAAGTGTCAACCTTCAGGTTTTCAAAAAAAAAACTATTGTGAGATTCAGCTTTTAGTTTTTATTAATATATTCTGTTAGAAGGTTTTTTGATTTTTTTTCTTATTGCCCATAACGATAGTAATAGGAATAAAATGATATAAAGGTGTATTCATTGTTGTTTTCATAATGATACCAATTAAAAAAAGAAATTACATTAATACATAATTGATTTCATTCTTGTTATTTCTTTTTATTCCTTGCTTACATAGACTATTCTTAGAAACTGTCAACGGTTGTGAGTGGTATTAGTTAAATTATGTCTCTCGCAGTGTAATTTATGAATATATCACATGATATATTCTTGTAGTCTTTAGTAGTTATTCTGATTTTATTCTTTGTTCTGAATATGTGTAGGTTTCTTGAAACCTTTAGTCAAGAAAAACTGTTAAGTTGATTTTGTTTAAAGTTACTTTTGTTTCTTTGTTATTCTTGAAGTAGGTAGTACCTGTTACTGCCTGTGGAGATCATTGCTCAATGTGACTTTGTGTAAGGATGTCAATAGCAATATCTTTCAATGGCTATTCAGGTGATATTTAAAGGTTATGGCTTCACCCATGTGTAATGAAAATAACCAGTCACATGGTAGCACCTGTCATGCTACGTAGATACGATATTTCATTCAATCTAAGAAACCCCAAATGTCTGGGAGATGATCGTAACATGAGAACATTCATTACAAGTGACAGTCTGATGTTTGTAAGTAAACTGTGGGTACACACACCGAGTTTATCAAATATTATTCATGTTGTTTTACACTTGTGTCTAGTCTCGTTATTCTGTTTAACACTGACTTAGGTAGGAGTTCTAGTATTACTTTGTAGTCTATGTTTTTTATTAAATCTCCAGTTACAAAGTAGATCTGTCTGGTGTAGCTCTAACTGAATATGCCATAGTAGTGATATAAGATCTTTAAATTAATGTTTGTGGGAGTTAATGTGAGTTTTTGATCCTTTCATATCATTTGTTTTTTTTTTCCATTTTTCAGTGGAGGCAGAATTATCAGAGTTGTTGGCACCAACCTAACGTCTATTCAGCAACCACGATTGGTAGTTTTCAGCCATACTGGGGTAGTTAATAAAACTGTAAGCTAATCTTTTGTTTTTCATGAATGTTGAGATTGGTTTATTCCTGATTTAAAGACAAATGAAATTTGTACTCATCTATGTAGAAATCTTTCGTTAAGTATTATGTTAAATAATTCAACGTAAATTCATTAAAAAGATTTTAGAATATTTCTACGTTTAACAATCTAAACATTACCGCGTTTACGCTTTAATTATTTCTGTAGTTTTGCTCGGTTGTTAACACTACTACGATGCTGTGTCCATCACCTGCTGTACACTCCGAAGTTTACAGAAGAAGTAGGCTTCACCAAGTCCATGATATCAGAAACATCGTGTTGAGAATTGGGTTTGTGATGGATGGTGTTCATTCCGTCCGAGAACTCGAACGCTACTATCCAAAGCTTGAAACTAACCTGCATTATGTGCCTGATCCTGTATATTATCAGTTTGGAAATGAAGGAATCAAATTGTACAAGGGCGAGAGCCTTGTTATAGAGGTGAGTTAGTTTAGTGAATAACTGCTGACCTCATCTTTACTCTTAACACAGAACCAGCATCTAAACAGTAGAATATTGGTAGAGAAGAGATTTCTTGAGAGATAAACTGTAAAAATGTCACTGTGTCAGCATAGTTGGTTGAATCAAGATACAGACACTCGTGTAACTCTGAGAAAGTAAATGTACCAGCACTATCGCACCATTCAGGGAAATACTTTGTAGGTTTTAACTAAATAAAATTTCCACATAATGGATTTAACAAAGTAACATTAATTACTCAACACAAAAACGTGTAATTTGCCTCTCCCTCTATACACAGTGCTAGTGTCCTAGCCTAAATACCACAAGACCAAAATTTATAATCATATCATTAAATTAAGACTAGCTTGCATGAAGTAGGTTTTATATTCTCAAGACTAAGGTTGACATCTGTCCTACCCCCCTCCCCTACTACCCATTCTCTGCCTTCGTTGTTAAAGGATGACTGTCTGGAACAACTTGATTTTATTGTAAGGCATTTTTTTACAGTATACCAAGACCGATTCTATAACTCCTATAACATCCATTTACTGGCAGTCAACATGTTGGTGGGTCAACAATAAATTTATGGACTTGTAATGCTAAGACCTGGGGTTCAATTCACTGCAGTGAACATGGCAGATAGTCCAATGTGGCTTTGTTCTAAAAATACACGTTTAATCTAGGTAAAGTAATATGCCCCCACTAACACTCTGTCACTTTTGCCTAGTTTGGCAAGTCTACTTTCCAGATGCTTCTTGAAACTTGGATTACCTAGTATCTCTGAATGCTACCCTTATCATTTGAGATATAGTGTTCTATTTTTACGAGAGGGCAAACCTATACTAGACCTACATTATGATCCTCAGTACATTTTTGTTACTGTATCTCAATTGTATACAATACTACTTACTTATCATGTTTGCCTAAATAACGTACATACAGGGAGAAAACCTGCAACTTGCGAGTAAGGAGTCGGAAGTGAATATTACTATTGGCACTCGTCCATGCAACGTGACATCCTTGAGTGCGTCACAGCTAGTATGTCTTCCGCCAGAGGTCCAACCACCTGGCACAGATGAAATTGGAAGAACAACTGAAAATGATCTACCAGTTGTGGTGGTGAGTTTTTATCTGTTTTATTTTTTATAAAGTATTTACAGTTTTCCTGGATTTTGTGGGTGTTTGAATTTTAAATTGACATCTTTATTAACCTAATTGACATTGTGGTTAGGGTGCTCAACTTGCAACTTGCGAGTCACGTGACTAAAACCTGGCACTGAATATGCTCACCTTCTCAGCTGTGGAGGAATTATAATATGATGATCATCCCACCATTTGTTGGTAAAGAGTAGACCAAGAGGTGGCAGTAGGTGCTGCCAGCTGGTTGCCTTCCCTGTGGTCAGTGGCTCGAGATTAGAGATGGTAGAAAATGTCCTAATTTTACTAAAGAATCTATTCATGCTTGTGTAAATTAACTTATATCATCAATAGAACAGAATAAAATCAAAAATTTTAAAATGAAAATGTTATATTTATCAGTAAAAAAATATTTAATATATTTATTTGCTGATGTTTTCTGATTGCTATGTTTAGAGGTCCTGCAGTTCTGTAGAGCATTTTATTGTACCTATCACATTCTACTATAAGAAAACAAATCTACATCGTTGAAAGAGTGGTTGAACACTCAAATTCATTATGAGTTGACTCATAATGAGTTTCTTAATCATAATTAGGCTTTCCTTTACATTCTGAAGGATGGTTAACACTTGCTATGAGTTTACTGGTCATGAACGTAAGTTTTATTAGACATAAGCCTTCTTTAATGTAGATGTACTTTGAAAGATATATTCATGAATACAGTTATGAAAGTAATCATAAACTTAAAGGATTATTACGATATCCTTGGGGTATATTATGTTCTGTCGCATTAAATGTTCAGTTTCATTATAGCCTTCACTGGGTGTAAATCCTACATATTTTGCTTTTCATTATCCACTTTTTGTTGTTGTTTTTTATGAAATATACATCAAACTTTTCTTTAACAGATCAGGGTTGGCCAAAATCTCCGTTATGAAGTTGGCTACCTTCGCTATGAGGTCATCAAAACTTCTGAGTTTCCGCCAGAGGCTGTTGGAGGAATTGCAGCTGGCGGAGCTGTACTAATGCTGATCACACTTGTTATCCTGGCTGTTTTACATTATAAAAGTTCTCAAGCTGAGCGAGAATACAAAAGGATTCAACTTCAGATGGATACGTTAGAAAACAGTGTACGATCTGAGTGTAAACAAGGTATAAATAAAATTACGATGTACTATACCATTTAAAAAAAAAAAAGAAAAGAAAGGCAAAGATTGTATTGTCGGATGTGTACAGTATTGGAAATGGTTATGGGAAATACATGCATACAGGAGTCGCAAACAGTGGTTAATTTGTCATTATTACAGTGTAACAGAAAATACAACATCCCCTGGTGAGACAGCTGGTAAGTCTACAAACTTACAATGCTAAAGTCCAAGGTTTGATTCCCCATGGTGGACACAGCAGATAGCTCAGTGTGGCTTTTTCATGAAATAAAGAAAGAGTACATACAAAAGAAAAACTTACAAGTTGTACAAATACACCAATATTTTGTATTCGCCTTAAACAGACCAGTACATCTTGTTTTTATGCTACCATAAGATTATCACTGGACAATGTTTAAAATGTCCAGTATTATGCTGCTGGAAGGTGAAATCCTTCTCAACAGGTATTATTCCTGAGGGAAGGACATGATGGGGGGAAATAATCTTCTTCTAACTGTCATTCAAAATCGTTATTTATGAGGGTTTTATTTAGGGTAATAACCTTACAGAAGTTGTGATTTAAAATGTTTAAGTATCCTCAGAAGAGAACTAACTAACTACCTTCTTCAAATGATATTGTTGTCAAACGATTTCAATTTGGATTAATCTGTAAAGAGCGCCCTCCTCCATTTTTGCTCATCCCATCGTTTGAAGACTGATGTCTATTACAGCCATTTTGTTTGTTTTTGAGTAGCGAGATAGATATCCATCAAAGTCACTTCATTATAATGTATATCTTAGTGAGCTGGAGGTAACATTCAGACCAATATTTACTGTTAGATCATTTACTTAACATCACTTTTGGCCTTTTTATGTCGACCACATCTATTATCAACAGAATAGTTTTACATAACTTCTTGAGAGTTTACATACAGATCCTACCGAAAAAAACATGAAATTTTGCTCTGTCATGGAGTACCCATCGCCAGCCAAAAATGTTGATTTATACACATTTGTCATGTGCCATTTCTATCCTGAGACCTGTGAGTGCAACTTCACACTACTACTGGGAATAGTATGACTGCCTGTACTTTTATAGGCTTTATGCTAGTGTGGCACCATCTGATTGATTGGTATGATAGCTACTCAGTGTAAACTGTCAACATGTGACTATATAACATTGGTTCTGTTCATTTTCATGCAACAGGGAGGGGAGCAGTCTCAAAATATTTGTAATTTTTAATCAATTTTATAGACTTTTGTAGGAATTATTTCTATCGCAGTCCTTTCAAAGAGTGTGCTAACACTTAATTGTAAAGGTACTTTTAAGTAATTCATTTTGCTTTGCTTTTCTTGTAGCTATTTTTCATGAAATACATGGAGTTAGTATATTAAAATGGTGTCATTTTAAGTCAAAGCAAATACTGCAAAACACCAAATTTTACAAGATCGTAGTTTGCGTGCATTTTTTTCAAAAACGTGTAGAATATAAATAAGGAAAAAAAACTGCCACTTATAGAGTTTGAAAAATAACGTGAATATGCATACATAATATGAAACGTTAAATTAAGTTGGTTATATTTACAGCATTTGAATATACACACATAATATGAAACGTTAAATTAAGTTGGTTATTTTTACAGCATTTGCAGAACTTCAGACTGATATGACTGATCTCACCAAAGACATTCAGACCACTGGTGTACCAACTTTAGACTACCGAACATTTGTAATGAGGGTGTTCTTTCCAGGAATGACAGAAAATCCTGTGATGAAGGAGTTTAAGGTAAACCTTTCTATAAATGATTTTGAACCAGTTGGATTTTATAATTACTTCAGTTATATTAAAACTGTGGTATTGTTAAAGAAGTATCGTAGCATTGATTAAGGTTTAAGATCTTTATATTGACTGATATATGCTTTTACGGTGTGTGTTATAATTCTTTTTTAAATATTTACAATTTAAATTCATTTTAAGCAGCAGTCTAGTAATCTGGAATTTCTAAGTATTTTTTTTTTAAATTATCAGTTTCAATCACTGATATTTTACAGTATTTGATTTGTGAATGTAAGTAATTGTTTTACAAGACAATTCTAGTTGGTTTGTACTTAATACGGAACCTTTTGGTGTTTGTGAAAAAAAAAGTATTAGGTTTTTAAAGAATAGTGGTGTAAATAAAACCTCTATTTTTGTGTAACTGGTGTTTTAATCATTGGCAAACGTTTAATAATGGAAAAAAAAAACAGGTATAGTAGATCATAAAAAAATAACATTCAGTTGTTGGAATAGCATTTTTTGTTTTTTTAAGAAAATGTAATAAGATGATGCTTTTAACTTCACACCACAAAAAGAAATATCAGGACCAGCTATAGAACATTCCCGAGAAAGCTCTGTCTTGTGTAAAACTATTGATGTTTTTAGTTTTCATATTATTTTTCATTTTCGAAACATCTTCGCAAATTCCTTACCGTACAAAAAAAAAATAAAATAAGTTGTTTAAATTGTGATGACCTAAGTAATTCGTGTTGTATGACAAACCGATTTCAACAGCATGTATGAGATTTTACTTTATATATATATATGATATGGATTGTCATTTATCTTGTACTTTAATTTCTTCAAGGTACTTCATTCTGGGTAATATTTACATATATTACATTGAACTTTCTTTTGTACTAGTTTTCTATTCGAAAATATATTTACTTTGAATTTTATTTTTCATTCTTTGGCTCCATTAACGTATTATGTAAGATAGAAAATAAAGAATATTTTAATAAAAATAAATTTGAAGTTAAATCAATTATGATTTAAATAAAACATTATTAATGGATGAAGTAGTTTCTGTATACTGACATTTATTACATCTCATCTAATCATACACTCTGCTATGGCAAAGTTTAAGTGACTTCTTAATTTACTAATTTTTTTCAGCAATTAAATGGACCTCAAACCAACTGTCAGTTGGCAATGGCTCAGTTTGAACAGCTGATCTACTGTAAACCTTTCTTATTAACTTTAATTCATACATTGGAGAGCCAGAAAACATTTACCATCAGAGACAAGTATGTTGTAATTA